CAACCATTACAGTAAACACTTTCTTTTTATTCTTCTTCTTGTTCTTCTATGTGTCATGTGCTTTCAGAATGTTGACGATCGTGGCTTAATAAGAAAGAAGCGATAAATAATTTAGCCCAATTGACTTTTAGATAATCGATTCAAGATCTTAAACTTCAAGAAATCACTTTAGACCCCCCACCCGCCCGCAAGAAAGGATAATCTGGCATATAGTGAATACATTCATTCATTTTCATCATCCCTCAACCTGCCTATGGTTGGTCGGAACTCCATTGACATTCGCTTTCCACAATGTTCGGTCCCTTATTGCTGTTCCCAGATCCCCAGTGCCCGACCCTGAGTCCTGAGCTACGGTGTCTGGGAATGTCAATTTTCGCAAGAAGACAAGAAGTTTGCTATAGGAGTAAGAATGAGACGATTTTCCTGTCCGCTCGGTAGCAGTGGCCAGCAAACCATAGTCATTTGTTTTTTTGGTTTTTTTGAGCTTAAGAGATAGTGATTTTCCAAGCGTAGCTTGGATGTTGCACAAGGCCAAAAGTAAGGGACACCTAGTGAGGATCGAACTCACTACTTATTCATAATTGTTTTAGCGAGCCAAGTTTGCTAACTATTACACTACCTCGAGATACCCTCTGAGCTTAAGAGATATTGGTCTCAGTTATGCGTAAATTGTTTCAAGTGCTTCATGGGATCTCGAACTGATGTTCTCGATTTTTTGAAGCGGGTTTGTATATGTTCCATCCAATCGTCTTTCAAGACGAACTGAAAATAAAATTTCTGATCCATACACATTATTAAGAGAGAACAGAAAATTAATAGGAATAGAAGAGAATAAAAATATTGTTCTTATTTCTCATATTATTTCACGCTCAGTTACAATTACAACTTTAAATTTTTGCAGATCGTAGTTGACTGGAATAGAAAGCAAAAAACCGTAAGAGAGTTCTGCTAGCAAGAGAAGGAAATATTATCATCGAACTTAAGGTTACATCAATCAATTGTAATTGTAAAATGATGAGACCTTGATGTCAATTTAGTATTGCATCTAAATTAAATCGCCATCTTTTGTCTTCTTGAATCCTGTTCTTGTCGTTTCTCCTCATGAGTATTTTTCTTTAGTTGCCTTCACTCTCAGTAAGCCGTTGCGTCTTAGAGGCTTCGTCGCCATGCTTGGGGTGAAATGATCAAAAGTAAATGCTAAGTGTTTGTCAATCCATCATCCCTTATGACATTCTAAATCGTATAGACTTGAAGATATTAAGAAAAAATATATCAGCAAACAATATGATGAAGATGTTATCCGAGCCAACGTTTTTAATTTATTTTCTATCTCATTTTTTTAAGAAGCCATTTTTTTTTTTTACATTTACGTTTCTTTTTCTTTAAATCATTCTTTCCTTTTAAATTGATTCTTTGAACTTGGTTGCATATACATTGGAATGTACCTCAGTTCATATTTTCTGTCTGTTTTTCTAGCATGATGAGTTATTATTCAAACTTCAGGTATAAGGCGCCATGTTTTAAGTTTAAGACAGCCATAAGAAAGGATTTCTGTAATATCGTATGTACCTTTTCCATTCGGGGGAAATGAGTATTCACTGTAGTTCTCTGCAATGTTTCTGTTTTACTATAACTCACACTCATTCTTCTGCCACCTAGTTAAGAAACCTTATTAGGTAGATTACTCAATGCTTCCCTTGTAATCATGGCTCTCCACGGCTTCCTATCTTTTGTAGCTCGTAGTAATATTTGTCTTTTTACTATCCCACCCAATCCTTTTTCTGCCATCCATTTAAACAAATATGTTAAGTAGGTTACTTGCCGTTTCCTTCTGTGCCTTTTGACTTCATTATATCGTGTGAGTGTCAAATTCTCTAAGCCCTCTTTCCTCATTATATGCCCCCAAAATTCAACTTAAGCATAAGTGTTCTTTTCGTTTCCATTATCACTGGAACTTCCTCGTTAGTTATATGTTCCGTCAACGCTTGGGCAACTCGACGTGGTGCTATGGTTAGCAAACTTGTCTCCATAGATCAATTACGACTGACTAGTGGGTTCGATCCTCACTGGATTCTCCCTACTTTCGGCCTTGTGTCATACATGTGCTACGCTTTGAGAACCTCGACGTAGTGTAATGGTTAGCAACCTTGTCTCGCTAGAACAATTACGACTGAATAGTGAGTTCGATCCTTACTGCTTGCTCCATATTTTCGGCCTTGTTCCATATCGGTATTCTCAGCTTTTCTCTGTTGGAACATTTTACTGTTACTTTAAGCCATCTCTTCATCAGAGTTTGCCGCAATATTGATATTACATGTTCAATACTCTTTCATTTGTGTCTAAGGATATTTTTCTGTTTCTTAATACTTTGCATAACTTTTCGCTATCTCAAACAGTTACTGAACACACAGCCGTACTACCCGACCAAGGAATTGAACTTACAGTTACTATATTACCGAATTCCTTAAACCATGTTTTAATACTCCACGCGATTAGAATAATCGGGAATATACAGGTTGTCCACAAAGTCTTTGGACAATTAGAAAAAGTCATTACGCAAAGCTTAGAAGAGGTGACAATTAAATTTTGGTTTCATATTAATGTTATAGTTAAAGTTCTTTGAGCCACATTAATAGTTCACTATTTACATTGCTCGTACTATCATCCTCATCTTTGTTGCTATATTTATCAACGTTTCGGCCGTTGTACGCTCCGGCCTTCTTCAGGTGGTTGGAATGTCGAACTAAACCCTGTGTCTTTAAGGATAAAGGCGTTAGTTAGATTCAGTGACAGGACCCAAAGCGTTGTGAGTTCAATACCTGGTTAAAGCAGTGGAGAACTTGGAGAAGTGAATTAACAGGAGATAAATGATAACTGACATCCATTAAACATGGCACATGGAACTAGAACAGTCTAATCCAGTGAATAAAATAAAGGGTTCAGTTCGATCTTCCAACCACTTGAAGAAGGCCTGAGCGTACAACAGCCGAAACCTTGCAATAAATATGGCAACAAAGATGAGGACAATAGTTCGAATAATGTAAATAGTGTACATAATACCTCATCTCAGAAATATTTATTATTTCGCTCACTGGGGTAGATTGTTCTAGTTCCACGTGCCATGTCTAATGGATGTCAGTTATCAGTTATTTCCTGTTAATTCACCTCTGCAATGTTTTTGTTGTGGCGTCCGTCCTCCAATGAGTCGATTGTGGACTCTTCAAATTACTATAAAAATAGTAGGAGAGTAATCCTCGAGGGAACAGTGATAGACTGTTCAACTGTCGAACTCTCTGCCTCGGCAGAGAGGAACCCGGACGAGGCTTTGCTGCAGGGCAAAGTTTCGTCCGGGGAGGTAGACAGGCCCTGAACCCGTCTAGGAAGGTTCAAAGGGAATATTTTTGGCCGAGCCTACGGGCTCGGAGAAGCCCACGTTAAATTTGGCCTTGTGCCACATACATTCTTATGGGGGGACTGTTAAATCTAACAGTAATAGACTGTTCAACTGTCGAACTCTCTGCCTTGGCAGAGAGGAACCCCGACGAGGCTTTGCCGCCGGGCAAAGTTTCATCCGGGGACGTAGACAATTTTTCTCATTGGTGGCAGTCGCAGGACATTCAAATCTCGGACGATCTTTCCTTTCACTTCCTAAATTGAGCTGCCCAATTTTGCATTGTTGATACATCTGAAGAGTTATCCCCTAACGTAGGAACCATGCTAGCTTGAATGTGCTTGGGAGCTTTATCTGCAGTTACTTGATGACACCACGTTGTCAAATCTTGCCCATTTTAAAGAGAGGTCGCTACTAGTTATTTTGAAGATTTCTTTGAACAGTCAGATGTCAGTTTACCTGGGAGGAAACAAAGCAGTTATTAAAAAGATGCGAAGTTAGTGCGCGCAATATTTCACAACTGCAGTATTACCCTTCATAGTCAGTCTATGAAATGTTAAGCCCATCCTCGTATTAACTTTCTGCAAAAAGTTCACTCTTTCATGTTGCATGCGTGATACACGCTTAGGCGATCATGTATCTTTCGATCCATGACTGACGAGGCAGATTTTTTTTCCAGCAGTAGGTTGCCAGTTCTTTTTTGCGGCAGACCAGTTGCAGTTCTTACCCGGTATTTACCTATAGCTGGTGGGGAGGAGAAGAAGAGGATTCATAGCTTTCCTGGAATGTGAACCCTGTTCTCCGATTCCTCAGTCCATACCTCTATCCATTACACCGTGCCTCCATAAAAGTTAAACGACGTAAGCGTGACACAGAAATTCTAAGTTGCATTGGAATATCGAAAGATGAATTCAAAATGCTACAAAAAGTACAAAGAAAAAGGAAAATATAGTTAGAAGAAAAGACAACTCTTATGGAATAGCAATTCTTTGCGACAGGGAAAGTTGTAGAATTTCTTCACGGGTACAGAGAAAACTTGAGGCAAAGGATGTGTTTCTGCAAAAAAAAAAAACGGATGCTAAGTATATCATAGCCAGAACATGTGAATAACGAGAAAGTTTTAACAGAAATAGAACTATACTTGTACTTAGAATTAAAAACAGTTTAAATTTCTCTGGCATGTAATAATGAAAGGTCTAGAGAATTAGACAGTCACGGGTAATATTGGTGGGAGGACAGAATCAGTGAGCAGTCTGCCTAAAAAGCCTGTGTAAATGGAGGATAGAACAGAGTCTGGGAAGGAGGGTCGGGAGAGAAGCATTACTCCGAGTTACAAAGGAAAGGAAGCCGTTCAGTAACATGATCTCCCGCGTCTTGAAGTGACACAGCACAGAGAAGAAGAACTTGTTCTGGCGTAGTGTTACTGGTTTGGAGCACATGCTGAAGTTATTGGCTAAGATCTGATAGGACTAGCGTAGTTCAACTCTCTTCGGACACCGGGGGATGATGAAATTCATTAGAGAAAAAAATAGCCGATTAGATTAGCTTACTTATCCTCGCTCTGCAGACAGAGCCAGTTAGGTTTCGAGTTCGAAAGGAGGAAGATTTGATGAAAGAAAGAGAACGAAATTCACCAGAAATATATATATATACATACATACATACATATCTATCTATCTATCTATCTATCTATCTATCTATCTATCTATCTATCTATCTATCACATTCTATCTATCTATCTATCTATCTATCTATCATTATCTATCTATCTATCTATCTATCTATCTATCTATCTATCACATTCTGCTCATCTATCTATCTATCTATCTATTATCACATCTATCATTATCTATCTATCTATCTATCTATCTATCTATCTATCTATCTATCACATTCTGCTCATCTATCTATCTATCTATCTATCTATCACATTCTGCTCATCTATCTATCTATCTATCTATCTATCTATCTATCTATCTATCACATTCTGCTCATCTATCTATCTATCTATCTATCTATCTATCTATCTATCTATCATCTATCTATCTCATCTATCTATCTATTCATCTATCTATCTATCTATCTATCACATTCTGCTCATCTATCTATCTATCTATCTATCGATCTATCTATCTATCTATCACATTCTGCTCATCTATCTATCTATCTATCTATCTATCTATCACATTCTGCTCATTATCTATCTATCTATCTATCTATCTATCTATCTATCTATCTATCTATCTATCACATTCTGCTCATTATCTATCTATCTATCTATCTATCTATCTATCACATTCTGCTCATCTATCTATCTATTCATCTATCTATCTATCTATATCTATCACATGCTCATCTATCTATCTCATCTATCTATCTATCTATCTTCCATCTATCACATTCTGCTCATTATCTATCTATCTATCTATCTATCTATCTATCTATCTATCTATCTCATTCTGCTCATCATCTATCTATATCTCATTCCGATAATTATCTATGTATGTATGTCTCTCTCTCTCTCTCTCTATATATATATATATATATATATATATATATAATAGTACAGAAAGATTGTCATAGTACGTTTCTTATATGTAGACATAGTATGCCGTATGCCGATGAAAGAAATTCGAGAGATGAAAAACAACAATAATAATGATAATATATATATATGTGTGTGTGCGCGTGTGTGTATATATATATATATATATATATATATGTAAGAGGAAGGAAAGAAACTTGATGAATGAACGAGCGGAAGAAATGTGTAATGAATGAGAAAAGAATACTGAATTGATCAAATAGTAATTCGGAAGGAAAACAAACAAGCAAAGAAGAAGAAAAAAAGAAAAGAAAATGAATAAAGAAAGAAAACAATGAAAACACAAATCAAACTAAAACAAAAAGGGAGAAAATAAGTTTTGTAAGGAAAAAAAGCTGAGATTTATTTGTATTTTTAGGTAATGGAAACTTGTCGGTCGAGTATCAATGACCAAGAAAAACAAATAAACTAATTAGGAGGTCTTTAGTTAAACCGTATAGGATTCACTCCGCCTCGACAGTTGCTCAACATTACTTTCCACTGAAGGGTGAGCAAGACACCCTATCATCGCCGGTAGGTTTTCCATTATTCTTCAGAAGAGCTCGCTCGATACGGCAGGAAGAAAATAAATTCTTTCGAATTACTTACAGTATTAAAAAGGAAAAAGAAACTATGACTCTAGACAAACAAAAAAAAATGTCAAATAAAAAATCTCAGAATTACGCGTCTGCCTTGAAAATGGGCATTAAAACGTAGCTTTCAACTGGGCTTGAACACATCTAACCAGGAAAAAGTAAACGGAAAATATAGAAATTAAGTGCCTGACTCGACAATCAGCATTAAAAGTCATGATTTTTAACCTGGGTTCGAGATCCAACTGCTAGGAATACTAGACGAAAATGCTGGAAGTACCTTCCGTGAAAAGCAACATTCGAAGCCCGGTTTTCAAGATCGCTCGAACACCGGGTTTAAAAAGCAGACGACAAAAAAGGTAGAAAGTGAATGTCTAATAAGCATTAAAATTGCTGGCGTTTAACTGAGATGGAACTTAAACTGCGAGAGAAAATGAAGACGAAGAATATTGGAAGTGTCTTTCAACGTGATGTTCAACTAGTTTCGGACGCCAACTTCCGGGAAAAAGGAGACGAAACATGTTGGAAAATGAGCACACGAAGCCTCTTTTACCTAGGCTCGAACTGCCGGGTAAAAGTAGACGAGAAATGTTTCAAGTGCCTTGAAAATCAGATTTCTAAATCCTGAGTTTCTTTTGGCTCTAACAGAATGAAAAAAAAATGGCGAATATGGTGGATACTATCGCAGTTATAATTAGTGTACACTTTGAGTTGTCTCTAAGACCTTTGAAAAAATGGTTGGAATAACTGGAAATCCGAAGAAAAAAAAACAAGAAAAAGGAAGATTCTAACAACAGCAATACTGACAACGACAGAAGTACTAAGTTGGATTTTAAATGTTATGAAAACTTGTCATTTGATCCAAACTATTTGTGAGAAAATTCAAAACATCCAAGACTCATTCCGCTTCTTTACCTATATGACCATTACGAATTTCTATTTTAGACCAGGGTATAAAATTTGCTCGATGCCCGGACGTTCTGGGCTGTAATCAGTTATGCTTTCTGCCTGGGAAAACTACTTAATAATATTAAACGGGAAAGAATTGAGAGAAAGAGAGGTAAGCGAGAGAGAAGAGAGGAACAGGCAAGAATGAGAAAGTTGTCGGCAGGACGGAGAAAAACGGAAAGATAAAGGAGAGGGGATGGTGACGAAAAGACATGGAGGCAATGGCTGCGAAGAAGGAAAGATAGGCGGTAAGAAAACTTGAGAAAAACGAGAAGAACACTAAGTGAAAGGAAAAAATAAATACATATTTACGTCTATAAAAAGTCGAAAGGAGATAAATAAAAGAAAAGTATAGTGAGTCAGGTTGTCAATGACAAAGAGATAGGAGGTACAAAGAAAGACACAAATTTCTATCATTCTGGTCATTATCTATCTATCTCATTCTGCCATTATCTATCTATCTATCTATCTATCTATCTATCTATCTATATATATATATATATATATATATATATATCTATCTATATATATTATATATATATCTATCTATCTATCTATCATTATATATATATATATATATATATATATCTCATTCTCTCATCTATCTATCGCATTATCTATCTATCTCATTCTGCCATTATCTATCTATCTATCTATCTATCTATCTATCTATCTATCTATCTAATTCTGTCATTATCTATCTATCTATCTATCTATCTATCTATCTATCTATCTATCTATCTATCTCATTCTACTCAATATCTATCTATCTATCAATCTATCTATCTAACTCATTCTACTCAATATCTATCTATGTATCTATCTCATTTTACACAATATCTATCTTATATATATATATATATATATATATATATATATATATACATGTATATATACATATAGATACATATATGTACATATATACATACATATATATATACATATATATATACATATATATATATATATATATATATATATATATATATATATATATATATATATATATATATATATATATGTTAATCAATTCACCCAAAAGATAAGCTCTAATGCCATTAAGACGCAAGTGGTGATGGGGAGTGAAAGCGAATGCGAAGACCTTAAAATAACTTGAAACCCATTCCTAAACCGGAAGCAAGGTATAAATCCCTACTCCTGTTGAAAAGACCGAGTAGGAATGTGAACTGACTGACCTGTAGACTTTTAGACCAAATATAAGCATAATGAGGAAAGATGGTAAAAATTGGAATTTTATGATACGCCAATGTCGCTTCTCAACAGGAAACAAAATACAGTTTAACTTTAGATTTAATAATCATATTTAATAAGATATTTAGTAAATCTCCACTTAAGGCCAGGCGATAACCTCCAAATCTACAATCGCTCCTTACATCATCTAGGCTAGAAAAAAACCATACACTTAGTAAGGCAACGTGACGTGTAATAAACCCCGATGCCAAGTTTGTAAACATATCACCAATTGCGTTTTTATACAAACTGGTAAACCCACAGTAATCCAACTTCCTTTTTTTTTGTGACAATCCAAATCTAATATATTTACGTTTTTTTTCCAACAAGTACAAAACAGGAAATTATATCGGTGAAACATGGCCGGAATTCTGTTTTCGATTTAATAACTATAAGAAAACTCTTAAAGGCAGCAACATTAATTCTAATGTTGCCGCACATTTCAACAACGGGACCATATCATTGATACATCCTTTTACAGTTTTCATTTTCCACGGATATTAGCGCGTAATGAGTATATATATATATATATATATATATATATATATATATATATATATATAATTCCCGCATCGTTTTTAGTAACTGAAACCCGTGTTTGAGCAGAAGCTTCGTATTTATTTCGTCTACCGGCTTGCGTACGTGAGAAAACTTAATGCAGACACTGTGTCTTCCGACAGAATTCGAACCAGCGTCCAACTGGACAGGAGGAACCATCATTTGAACAAGCATACTTTTACAGCTCAGCTACTGAGAGACAAAATAAGGGAAAAGGACTTCTTCGGATGTTAGTACAACTACACATGCGCACAAACGAGGGATGATGGGAATTTTAATTTTGAAATTGAAATTTTTGTTTTTAATCTAGCCGATTTCAATTAGATTTTTTTTCATGTTCCTTCCATCACTTTTGTTAGTAGATGATCCCACACTGTGATAGTAGAAGATCTACAAGGAATCTGCTATCAAAGTGTGGGATATCTACTAACAAAAATCATAAAAAAAAAACTAAAAATGATCTAAATGAATTCGTCTAGATTAAAAAAATAAAAACACTATCCCTCATTCGTGCGCATGTGTAGTCGCGCCAACGTAACACATTTAGTCGGATGAGGTCAGAAAGGGCGAAACAGGTCACAAGATAACTTTTTCGACATTGTCATACCATTTCCCAAATATTGTTCTTGATATATGTATATAAATATATATTGTCATATCATTATATATATATGTAAAAGTACACACACACACGCATATATATATATATATATATATATATATATATATATATATATATATATATATATCTATCTATATACATATATGTCTGTATATTTATATATATATATATATATCTTATAGAGTGTTACATTAGAACATGCACATATCCACTAAAAAATTGTACACTTATGTTTCGACATCAAAAAAGGGAAATCCTTTTTAGACGTCTCATCAGGTGGTGAATCACGGTGTTACTAAAAAATATACGGAAATACAGTTATAAAACAAATATCCACCACTTCCGTTCTTTGGAAATTTTCGTAAAATCTCTTTCTAGAATATATATATATATATATATATATATATATATATATATATATATATATATGAAGAAAAATTTTGAAAAACAAACAAAATCCTTAAATGTTGTTTAAAATGAATGAAATGTCGACGTCTGACGTTTCGGTTTAATCAACCTTTTCAAGACAATATTCATTAAAATACAATACAGTTGAATATGATGGACATAAAAACACAAGTCTTATCCAAAACAGATAACTGAAAATTTTTAAAACGATCAGCTTTCCGTCTAACATGGTCACGCCGTCGTCACATGGGCGACGCTTTCAAACTATTCCTAAAAGTTTGTGATTATTTTGAAATGAAAAAGAAAATGAAAAAATTCTATTAGGTTCTAAAATTTTTTATGTGTATGCTTGTCAAGCATCAATCTCGCTAAAAAGGAAAATATTAAAGAAACCAGGTCTAGTATTCACTGTGCGTGTGATGGATATTATACCTGCTTCATAAATCCTCCTGAGATTTTTATTATGAAAATATTTTAATACTTTCACGGAATCGAAATCGAAATTATGATCTGCTTTTGTTGTGTACAACTAAAGCATTGTTAAATTTCGAGGCGAATATCTCGTTTATGTTCGAAAACACGAGATTTTACGGACCTACATGTTTCACCCACATATTTTAGGTCACAGTTTTTTGCATGATATTTGATAGATGCAAGCATCGGAACTAATATGTTGTCTGTTGGTGCTATTTAATAAACTACGGATAGTTCTAGTAGGTAATATAGTAGTTCTAATTTTAATGCATTTAGATTATGAGAGATACGTTCGGTCAAATGGTTATTTGGTAAAAGATGCGACCAAACGAAATATTATCAGAGGCAGCTGAAATTGTATCTTTCATTGATGTAGTTGTAGTAGCCTTCGAGGTGTCATTTTGCGCTGATGAGGGAATTTTCAACGCTTTATTTTAGATCTCTGTAATAATTGTCTCGGATACGAAAGATTTGAAAAGGTATCCTCAATATATGTGAATTCATCATTTAAATATTTTGATGAACAGATGCGAAAGAGTCCTTAAATAGAATCCAATAACAAGACCCCTCTTAGTGTTAGTATCATGGTGAGAGTAAAAATGTAAATAGTCATTTTTACATGTAGGTTTCTGATATACTTTGAATTCTAATTTATTTTTTATTTTAATGAGTAGTATGTCTAAAAAAAGGTAAGGAATTATTAGATTCAAGTTCATAGGTAAATTCTATAGTAGGTTCTATTCTATTTAATCTATCAGTAATATTGTTTTAAATCATGCTTATGTGGGTATATAAATAAAATGTCATCGATGTATCGAAAGTAATGTGTATCAGGTGGAATGACATCTTTAAAAGGTCCAGATTCAAGAAATTCTAAAATATGCATGCTAGGAATCCAGAGAGAGGACTCCCCATCGGTAAACCAAATTTTTTGTTTATAATAAATATTATTATATTGGAAGAAACAATGTGAAGTGCAAAGGATGCATAATTTGATGCATTTCGAGATAGAGATAGCTAGCTCAAAGTCAATTTTCCTAAGGTGGTTCTCTAATTGTTTAATGCATTTATCAACAGGTATATTCGTATATAAAGATTTGATGTCTAAGCTAGCTAGTAATTTGTTATCTATATCAATATTTCTCAACTTATTTAGAAGAGAGCCTGAATTTTTGTATGTACGTTACTTACGGTGCCCAGAATTGGAGTTAGAAATTTAGTTAAATACCTAGCGATATTATGAGGAGCTGAGCCTATACCGAGATGATGGGCCTTAATGGAAATGAAGCTTTATGGGTTTGGGAGGCCATAAATTTTAGGGACAGTCGGATGGTAGTTAATAAGGAAAGCCAAATCTTATCTTCATTACATATGAGTTTCTTATAGGACCTATTAAATTCTTTTAGATTCTTAGAAATTTGTATAGAGGTGATCTGTTCATAAGTGTCTCTATCATTTAGCAAGTCCAACATTTTCTGGTTGTAAGCAATGGTATCCATGACAACAACACCGCCTCCTTTATCAGAAGGAGATATAATAATGTTATTATTCATAGACAAGGATTTTAAGGCATTCATATACCTCTTAGGTAAATTGAATTCCATATTTTGGCCATTAAAATATATATATATATATATTATTTGTTTAAAAATATGATTCGTTCGCTACGTAAGAGTTCTCATGTTTCAAAAACGAGAGCCGAAATAATCCAAATAATTATTAAAATTAAGTTGAATTGTGGTGTTTAGTACCGTTTCATCTTCAAGCGAAATTTTAGGAATAGGCTATTTCTCGGTTTACGTGTGTTTTTAGGCATGGTCCGTTACTTAATTCGTTATTGTGGGAGTGGCTAGACTATTTTCGTTCGTTAAGTGGTCAGAGAGTTAATTCTTATCAATAGATTCATCGTCTTCTGAGAGGTTTTGCTAAGGTTTGGTAGGGTATCTATTTCAAGGCTAATGTTTGCAGTCACCCTTTAGTTGGTTCCCAGTGAGGGATATTTTTATGGCGCGCCTACAAGTCGTTATGTGTCTGGAGAATTGTCTTTTATTATTGTCCATCTGATTATCTATTTATTTATTTGTTTATTCAAGTGGGTGTTTTATATACAGATTGTATTGCACTGAATTTCAATTTGTTTTTTTTTTGTTTTTTTTGACAACTACAAAAAGGGTTTTTCCTATTTAATGATTTGGCTAAGCTTTTAAAAATTTTACTTAGCTATGGGATTTTTTTTATGCTAATTATTTAATGCGAAAGTTTGTTGATGTCGGCAAAAAACCGTTAACTCCTGCCTATGGTTTAATAATTTTTCATTATTTAGAAATTTAATGATGTGTAGTTTTTCCTGTAAGCATAAAGGGCATGGGTCATCCCAGGTTTTACATACCAATGCACTATCTCATCCATTGAGAGTCCTAACACTGATAGGATATACATAGGCTCAACGAAGAATAATTTTAAAATTAGATGGAGGCAACACAAGAGCCCCTTCAACAAGATTCAAAATAGAAATCAGACATCTCTATCCCAATATTTCTGGCATCTAAAAGAAACGAATAAAACACCAAAAGTAAAATGGAAAACAAGAACTTGTAAAACCTGGGATGACCCATGCCCTTTATGCAACTTAATTTTAATAATTATTTGGATGATTTCGGCTCTCGTTTTTGAAACATGAGAACTCTTATGTAGCGAACGAATCATATTTTTAAACAAAAAATATTATTATAATAAAGCTCTACTTCTGTATGGGAGCACTGTCTTTTTAAAAACAGAAAAAAATACTAAGGAACCCCGGATTATGCACCCAACGTGTTCTTTTCTATTTTCTGCTATCCTACGCACTTATACTTATATATATATATATATATATATATATATATATATATATATATATATATATATATATATATGTGTTTGCGCGTGTGTGTGTTTGCGCGTGTGTGTGTTTGCGCGTGTGTGTGAGAGACAGGAAAAAATGTTCGTGTGACGCGTTTCGTCCTTTAGAACTTTATAAGACTAAATTTGTAACGTTGCTGCGACTACGCATGCGCACGAACGAGGGATGCTGGGAATTTAATTTTTTTATTTCTAATTATTTTTTTTTTTTGATCTAACCGATTATATTTCGATTCTCTTTTTCCCATCACTTTTGTTAGTGGATCTTCTATTATGCCAGTATGAGATATCTACTAACAACATTTCTCCACTTCCCGCCAGAATTTCTATAATCACAGTGTGGGATATCTACTAACAAATGTGATGGAAAGAAAAAGAATCTAAATGAAAACTGCTAGATTTAAAAAATAAATAAATAAATATAAATTTCCCAGCATTCCCTATTCGTGCGCATGTGTAGTCGCATCAACATAACAAACTTAGTCCGATAAAGTACTAAATGCTGAAATGTGTCGTGAAAACTTTTTACATTTTTCATACATTTTCAAAAAATATTTTTTCTTGCTATATAAAACTGTATATCGTTATCGCATATATATATATATATATATATATATATATATATATATATATATATAAGGTAGAGACAAGAGACATTATTCAGACTGCTGTCCTTATCTTTATTGCCATATTCACAACGTTTTGGCCGTTGTACGCTGCAGCCTTCTTCACGCGATTGGAATTTCGAACTGAACCCTTTATTTCTTTCACCGTTGTAGAATGCCGAAGCTTACAACGGCCGAAACGTCGTGAATATTGCAATAAAGATGAGGATAACAGTCTGATGAATGTAAATACTTACAATACCTCATCTCAGAAATATAGACAGATACAAAAGAGACATTTTACAAAACAACACATAGATTGCGTTAGTTGGCCACCATAATGACATTGACCTCGAATATGACTAGTAAGTACCTTGAACGCAACACCATCTACAATAATTTTGCACCCAGGCTCATACAATATTTCACCATTCCTGGTTGAACTTCGAGTATGACAGTGTGGAATATCTAATATCAAAACTGATGGAAAGAAAAAAGGATCTAAACAAAATCGGCAGATTTAAAAAATAATAATAATTCAAAATTCCCAGCATCCCTCATTCGGGCGCCTGTGTAGTCGCATCAACATAGTAAATTTAGTCCGATAAAATACTAAAGGATGAAATGTGTCACATGAAAACTTTTTGCACTTTTTCATACATTTTGCCTAATACTGTTCTTGATATATAAAAATTTATATATCGTTATTTCATATATATATACATCGTTCAAAATACACACACACACACACACACACACACACACATATATATATATATATATATATATATATATATATATATATATATATATATATATAATAATAATATATCATTTATAAAAAAAGGGAAGATAGTGACACATTAACATGTTGATTATCCATATTGCCTAAAACAAAAATTTAGGAGGAAATTCCCATCAGTACTAGAAGAGGCGATAACGGTCAGTCGACTTGTGAAACTTATTCTCCTGAAAGAAATCTTTTATAAGAAAGATTTCATAAATTTCAGTTGATAGTAACGCTATTTGTACATCATTTTACGAAAAATAAAAACGTCACCTTTCTATATCCGATACCGAAACTGACATTACTCTTTTTCACTAAGAAATCTATTTTTTTCAGTCAAAAATCATGATAGAGAGATTATTTGCATTATTTAAATTCAATTTATAAATTTAAGTATTCAGATAGGCCTCCGCCGGTCATCAACGACCATGGATTTGATCCACGGGAGGATCAAACTTGAGCAGGATAGTATGGAGGAGAAGATATTCCATGTCTCCGCTCTCCACGTTGCTGATGGATCAAACGGAAACAGCAACGCCATTACAGTTTAGCACCAACTGCCAGAACGAGGCTGAAATCAGCAACGAACTGATTTAGGGGTTCCAACACAGAATTTTTAGTTGTAGTATGTGTTACGCCAGGGCTACATACAGTTTTGAATTCTGAAACATTTTCTCCAGACATTTGCCCCCCCCCCAAGGCATTTTACCCATAGCTGGAAAGAAAAAAAATTCGTATCTTTCAAAAGGGTATTAAGCACGTAAGAAAATGCAAGGGAACCGAATAGAATTCGAGCTCGGCTCTCCAGTTCCTCAATCCGGACGAATTTGCTTTATTTAAATTCAATTTATAAATTTATGTATTCAGAATTGATTAATCCACTCATTTTTATTTTTTGTTGCTTAAAAACATTTGCAGGTTATTTAAAGACAGGAATTAATATTAGATTGTAAGAATTTTGGTGGGGAGATAATAATGATTTAGTGATACAAGTCTTAATAATTAACCTATAGCTGGGGTAGAAGATGTGGATTCATGCCTTTCCCAAAGGTATTTGCGTGTGGGTGAATATAACGAATCCAGCTAGAAATGGAACTCGGCTCTACGATTAACAATTCCTTGTTCTATGTTATATAGGAATAAAGTGTCGCTGCCGACACTTGAGTTTGAACGTAGATCGCCGGTGAGCAAACACAGGCGATCCGATTATTGAATTAAGTGGATCTTGTGACCATGGCAGAAACGCATATGTAGGATGTCGCGTGACGTCTAAGCGATCGCTATTTTTATTCTATCCTCTATCACTATACGGACCGCTATTCTATACTCTATTCACTATACTATTTCTCTATACGGACAAAATACGGTGGTTACTATACGAGCAGTATTATGAAAAAGCGACATTTAGTTTTTTTTTATTGAAGGCGTTTGACACCAGTATTGTTCAACGGCGTTACTATTTTTTATCTGCGATTACAAACGTTCTCTACTACAACGAGCATTACGATGGGGCGAATGAGTATTCGTTGGCATTACAAAGTAGCAACGAATGTTAGTTGACATGACAAAATTATCCATTACACCATCTGTACATCTAAGCTTAGACATCTGGTATTCCCAAGCGGTCATCCATCACGGTATTAATCAGGCTCGAGGTTGCTTAACATCAGTGATCGTGCAGGAACCGATGTTTAAACGTGGCATGGCCGTTTGTTTTGTTTTTTTAAAAATGATAATGGTTTAATGATAAAATTTCTACTAATTAACCCATAGCTGGGAGAAGAGGTGGATTCATACCTTTCCCAATAAGTATTTTCGTGTAAGTGGATATAACGAACCCAACTGGAATAGGAACTCCGCTATCGTCATCCTTTACACCAGCAGCACATCTAACTGTACTTCAAAACGAATGCCCATCTATGTACTGAATAGGCTAGACGTTGCTTAACTACATTGATCGTACAGAAACTGATGTTTAAACGTGGTGTGACCAGGTACAGAAACGAAAATTTTGACACAGAAATTCAAAGATGCACAGGAATAGCGGAATATACCTTTCAGAAACTAAGCAAGTTTTTTAAGAGTTAGTAAAGTATTCCCAAGCGCTCAACCATCTAGGCACTAACCAAGCTCGCCGTTGCTTAACTTCGGTGATCGTATGAACCGGCGATTATAAGTGGTGTGGCCGTAAGTCTTATAGTATTAGAATTTAGTTTCCTTAAAAGCAAATAATATATGTAAACTAATGAACAAGATTGTACATAACCGATAAGGTATTTAACCTAAACAAATAAACTAGGAAGAGACTGTTTCCTCCTCCGACTAACTGCCCTTAACACCCCCGCCATTAGTGTCTAGTATAGCCAACGAAAAGAGTAGTGACACATGGCCTGAAGATAGATTGCGTTATGAACTTGAGAATCAAAAAGGGATTTTTGGTTTCTATGTACACAAAATGATTTCATTTATTAATACGACATAGGTTATTTTTTAGTCAAACCCATATTTGTGTAGACACTACGTTTATTTTGAAATATTAATTCGTTTATCGGTTTGCATATTAGAGAAAACTTAGCGAAGAGAAAGTGCCCTCCAACAGGATTCGAAACTGGGACTCTCCTTGCTTTAACGAAAAATAAAACACTACGTTACCGTGATTCTCTCCGTGGCCAAACGGTAAATGTGTGGTAGTTCGAACGATGGGTTCTCCTGCAAAGTAGGACGCAGGTTCAAATCCTCCCGGACGGCGCAGTGGCTGCGTTGTTTTCTCGAGGACGCAGGCCGGTAGACGAAATAAAAATAAATAAACGAAGCTTCTATTCAAACAGGGGTGTCCCCTACAAAAATGTCGCTTGAATTGCAGTAATATATATATATATGTGTGTGTGTGTGTGTGTATACGTACAAACAGTTACTTTAGATTATATCTTAATATAATAATTCATTGAATTTATTCACTCGAGACTAAAACAAAACCTATTTTGTGTGTGTATGTGCCTCTGTGTTTATGGGTGTCGGGGAAGAAGCTGGTAGGTTTGGAATGAAGATTTCCGGGGAATAGTCCTGTAAATAGATCTGATTAAATAAATGGATTATTCTATACCAACCAATTTCTGACCAATGTACAAGAAGAGATATTTTGACTCAGTCATCAAATTCATAATAATTTATTTATATCTTTAGTTTCACATCGGCACTTCACAAAAATAACTAGTCGGAGGCGCCCATTTCGAACAACGTAGCATTATCAAACATCTCCTTCTGTTGTCGCCTTTCTGTCGAATGGATCAGAACGATTTACACTCGCCTAAGATGGACAAAAAAAAAAAAAGAAAGGATGAGAACGTTATGAAAAAAGTCTGGAAACGTAGAATAAATCAAATAATTTTCCTTTATCTATATTCATATGGTTTAATCAGTATGTTATGAACAAAAAAGCAAGTCAAATATTCACAAACGTGAAACAAGATGACGGATTTTGCTCTGTGAGAAGATAATATACACCTTTTTTATTTGGGGGGTGTAATATAGAAGAACGAATCGATAATCCATTATTGCAAAGATGATAGAAAGGAATGAATTCATGGAGACAACTTATTATAAATCAAATCGTTTCGTTTTATATTTTATTTCTTTTTTGATTCACTGTGTCGTGCAAGATAATTTTTTTCGCCATAATTAATCTTGTACGTTTATAAATCTTCCATTCGTCCGTATATTGAATATTACTGCCATATCTGGTCTGGTCACCCCTGTAATATATCTAGAGCAGAGTTTCTCAACCGGTGCTCCCCGGAACCCCAAGGTTCCACAAGAGGTCGGTAGGGGTTCCGTGAGAAAGAGTGATCAATAAGCTAATGTATTTTTGAATAATTTTTGTTTTATTTTATATTAGTAATTTTACGATACACACACGGCATATTGTTGGAAAATCCTTGGTTTTTAATAACAAAGGATTCAACCTCTTATATTATTTAAAATTATAATAATCATAGGGAATATATTTAGCAATGTCTGTATAGTGTCAGTAGGAAACTGCATTCACTGGTTAGTGGACAGGTCCTGCCCCACTTTAAAAAAGCCCTTGTGTCACAACACGTCTTAGTGGGGAGACAGAGTAAATACCTATTGGACAGGACCTGTACATGTCGGACTCGTGTATCATTGAGTCTCACGCATGCACGGTCTTCATATATTATGTTTATCATGAGAACTACGATAAAAATATAGAAAAAGAGATATTTATTAAGAATAGTATATAATGATTTTCGTGCAGGTGTTCTCTGAGATATTAAAACTATTTTAAGAGTTCCACAAGAATAAAAAGGTTGAGAAAAACTGATCTAGAAATTCTGGAAAAAATATGTATGTAATGTTATTTGTGATGACTTTGCATCTCGTCTTCAGTTATTTTCCATCTCCGTAAGGTAGCCTCCCCTTATCTTTTCTAGAAATATTTTCATGGCAATTGTTCTAATGGGCTTTACTTCTTGGTATCTTGGTGTTATATACCGTACCCATGAACACAAATGGGTATGCCACAATCCTCATCAATACTGTCTATGTAGTCCACTACTAGCAGTGGTTTACCTACTTCACGCTGCTGGCGAGTATTGTATTTTTTGATGTTATAAAGATTACCATTTCATTTACAACCTCCGTTTTGTTTATTCTTCATTCAGTAACCCTTCCTAGGTTAACCATTCGACCAACAAATCGGGAGTTTTTTCTTATCAGAACGAAGTGAGCTTTCCGAGCTGCCGTGCCTTCGTAATCACCATAAGACTCATCTGAATCCTTTACACTGTCCTCGGATGGACAGCTAAACATTGTAAATTGTTCGTATTGGAGCTTTCGACGCGACTGATAAGCAGTACATCCGTTTCCAAATTTCTGGTGGAGTGAATTGCGTCATGGCGGTCTTTTTTCTCACAGACTGTGCCTAACTGACCCTACCATACTGAGCAAAATCAAAAACAAACAACGCGCATGCGCGAAAATCAAAATATAAAATGGCGACAATTAACCCGTATAGATTTATAGATATAAACGAGCGGACCCTGAACGTTCAGCTATCGCCCAGGTCGACCCCGTGCCTTTGAGCACCTATTGGGATTTGAACAATCCGTAGGACTCGTACATTTGATCTATCGCTAACGATACTAGAAAAATGGTAGGTTCCCGGTACTGTTCTACCTGTTGACCTGATCAGGAGGAAAATGGAGAACTTAAGCCATACATGGGCAAGGACGACCCCAGTCTTCACTTTCCAGTCTCGATTGAGTCCAAACACATCTCCGCGTCCTTGTGGGTAATGAATTATTTTCCATCCTACAATCGCTTTCCGTCGCAAGCCCCTCGCTGCTATATCGTTCTTTCCATGAAAAGTGTTTACATGAATTACATCACCGTATTCACGGCTAAAACCCATGCCACAAGCATTGCAGCGAACCCCCCCCCTCATTCTATTCATTTTCCATTAGTGAATTATAAGTTCTATTCGAGAAGCTCTTTTGTGAAACCGACTCCCAAGAGGATGCTTCCTCGGTTACTAAAATCTACGATTAAATGTTATCGTACCCAAATATCTCCATACACCCTGCTTCTTACTCTCTAACCCTTTAACATGAGTGGTTCTTCTACAAGCGGAAAATATTTGTAATAACTGTATCTTGCTTGCAGAGCTCTCCTTCTGTTTCTTGCTTCCCTGTAACTTACGATGTCTAAAAGTTTAAGTGCAACATCATTTTCAGTCTTCTCTCTTCCAGACTCCTGTTCTTTTATTGTCCTAAAGTTTTCGCATCTTCTTTCACTCTCAGTAGCCCCGAGATTTCCAGAGGTATAATCGCCTTGCTTGGGATGGAAGGATTTTTTTTTTAATTAGAAAGATCTTCATTTATGCGCGATGTCCCTTTAGGACATGACCAATGATGGCTCTCCACAACTTTTAATTCATTCTAACCAATGTTTGCCCACTTACTACCCCGTCTAATTCTTCATTTTGTTTTTAATCAATTCGCCTCAATGCGATACTGCCACTAAGACGCAAAGGGCTACTCTGAGTGAAAGAGAATGTTAAGACTTTAGAAAGAGCCGGAAATCTAACCCTAAACAAAGAATAAACCTGTACTCCTGTTCAAAAGACCAGAGGGGGATGTGGACCGGATGATAGGCAAACCTATCTGCTTTTATTACTGCTAAACATTTACACAAGTTCGTTACGTAAATATCAGATTCTCCAAACCTTCTTTCCTCATTGTGTGCCCGAGAAATTTAAACTGTTTTTTTTTTATCCTTAGCTAAAGTGCTCTTTTTATTTCCAATTTAACTTAAAACTTTTCCCGTTGGTTATATATTCTGTCCTTGGTAGTCTCAACAGCATTCAATATAACTCCATCTTTATTGTTACTAATATCCTTTTCCTTTGTGAGGAAATTGTTCAGAATTCACTGGTATATAGAGGGACTACTTTCACATCGCAGTCTGATTTGTGTCTGCGATTAATGGATTAATTCCTGGTTGTATTGCCACAGTGTAATAATCCTAACTTCGTACGATACAAATCAAATTAACGTTAAATCAAAATAGAGGGATTATCTTGCGCCTTATTCAGTCATTTTCCAACGGTGTAACATAACTTTCCTTCACGTTTCTATAAATATTTTCATGGTAATTCTTCCGTGGGGGGGTCGGTTTTGGTAGCGAGACAT